CCGCTGCTGCTGCCGGCGGCGGCCGCGGTGCTGCCGGCGGGCGGGAGCGGGGAGCGCCTGGGCGGCGCCACCCCCAAGCAGTTCTGCGCCGTGCACGGGAGGCCGCTCGTCAGCTACGCCGTGCGGGCCATGGAGAGGTAACGAGCGGCGCCCGCGCCGCCGCCTCCGCTGCGGGGCCCGAGCCCGGCCCCGGCGTCTCGGCACGCGGGAGTGCCGTGGATAACGCCCGCTTGGAGGCACGTGGCTGGCGGTTAATGCCTATATGTGTGCGTGTATACACATATATAGGCATATGYGTGTATATAAACATATGTGCCAGTGCTGAGGGAACCGAGGCCCTGCATGTGGTGTCACTGGAAGCCCTTTGGATCGGGGCTGGTGTCACCGGGGTCCTGGATGTCCCGCCCTGGCCCGCGGGAGCCCGAACCTTTCGGCTCCCTGCGGAGCAGAGGAGCGAGTGGAAACGGAGCTGCCAACTTCTCCCGGCGCTCTGAGCTCATGGAAATTTGTTGAACATCAAATTCGGGCCCCTTTTTCCATTCCTACGCAGAGAAGCTTCCCTCAGGTCACTTCGTTACTTTATGAAAGAAATATTGTTTGTTTTCTGTATTTAATTTTCAGCGGCCAGTCACAAGGCTGAGCACATCACTAAGCAAAAGCTTTAATCCAGAGCTGCAACTTCTGCCAAAATGCCATGGGAGTCTACAGGGAGAAAGAATAATGCCCTCAGTCAGTGTGTCAGAGACCTGGGAAAGGAATGGAGTGAGGTTTGGGAAGGAAGTGATGGCCCGAGGAAAATAAAGCATCACTCAAAAATCTTTAATTTCTACTGCCAGTGAGTTCTGGGAGATGAACAGTTCTTTGAGCAGCAGTGTTAGATTTTTGTTCTAAAGCTGCAAAAAATTAGATGGCTGAATTCAAATGTTACATTTGGCCCAAGCACATGATCCAAACCAGGTTGTGAGGGACTCGGCCAAGGGTTTCCCTTGGCTTAGGAATGTGGTGGTCGGTGCCGGTCCTCGCTGGGGCAGGACTTGTCCCATCTCCCTGCTGGTGTGGGTGGGGAGGTGCCTGGCGTGCATGTGTGTTGGGAAATAGGAAAAGATCCCGCTTAAAGCTTGAAGTGACTTGTTTTCATCTCCGTGCCTTTCACTCCAAAAATGTAAAGGAGGTTCCTCCTTGTACTTGGTGTAAATATGAGCACAGAAAATGTCTTACTGAGGAACTGTTGCTTGTCACCACATCTGCCACCTGGAAGTGCCAGACTTTCTGAAGTTAGTTTGGTACTATCTTCTCATGTCTATTATTCAGCCTCCCTAGTAATAATGAATCATTAGCTTATTAGCCTGTAATAACTTCTTACCAACCAGTTCCCGGTTATTTTGCCTACTTTAGCTGTTTTTCAGCTTGGGATTTTGGGCCTGGAAAAAAAATGTAGCAACATACAGACAAATACATTAGCAAACCAAAATTTTGCAGCTGTTTTGCATGTGCTTTTTAGAAAGCATGAGGTGGTGAGGATTTTTACTCCATTTAGCTGGAAGTAACCAGAACATTAAATATTGGTGTGGAAAACTGTCAGACAAGAGCAGACATGACTGAATAAGCAGCATGTCCTGTTCTCTGAGATGACAGAGTTCAGGAGGTTGGCCTTCCAATAACAATCAAAGAAAATGCCCCTAGGAAGATGACATAAGGGTGAGTAGGATAGGGAGGAAAGATTGCTTTTTATTACCGTCACAGTGATGCTGATAGGAAGGTCAGGCCCTACCTTGGGGATAAAAATAAAATATATAAACATAAAATAAACTTGTGTGTCAGTTTTCCTAGGAATTTATTTCTACTTTTGTTGGCCCCTTGGGCATCAAGTCCCACAGAACTACAGTGGTGTTGGTGTTCTTCCTTTTTGCCCCGTGCGCACTGGCAGGGTTCTTCCTTCCCTTTAGCTACGCGGTGCATGCCTGTTTGCAGTGGGATGTTTGCAGTTCCCTGCTCTTGAGGCATGGAGCAATCCCTCTTCTCCGTGTGCGGGGGTGTGTGCACGGAGTGAGGGGTTTCCCTAAGCTACAGTGAGCAACACTGGGAGGTAAAAGTTTAAAATTTCACTCGTTTTTCACCACCCAGTGAAAGCACAGCAGAGTTACCGTGTTTCCTGGAATAAGGGCAATTAATTACTCAATGGCTTCAAACAGCTTCTTTGCTTGCGATGATGTAGTCTCACCAAACAGTGACCTGATGTCAAAAAGCATCACCTGGGGCAAGTGTCCAGGGAACTGCCTGGACCTTTCTTTTCTGATCAATAAGGAATACTAGCTTAGTTTTTTCAGGGCAAATGGATTGCCTGTGTACATGAGATGCTCTGAACTTGTTTAGTGTGTCTGGGAGGCTTTTCAGACTTACGCTCTCCCTGCTTGCATTGGTTTAAAAACAAAAGAAAAGTGTATGTGTATTAAAATATATCAAGAAAGTGGGGAAAAAAGGAGGAAAATTGCTTTTTGCGTTTGAYAGCAGTCCTTTTTGCCATTTGGTATTTGAATAATGTCACCAAAACTGAAGTAGCAGCTTGTGTTTTATCTCTGAGGAGTTTCAGCGGCAGTGAAAGATGGTGTCTTCGGCTGCAAAAGCCATCTCAGCAGTCTCTCTCTGGCTCGGCCTTTGCTTTGCTGATGCTAGTGCTCATTTCAGTGGGTTTGGTGTGAGGTGAGTTGCCTCTGGTCCAGGGAAGAGCTGCAGAAACCGACTGCAAGCGTTTGAGCCTTTTGTCACGCTGAGGACTCTATGTTGGTACTTGCTTCTTTTTATACACAAGTATAAAGGTTTAAAACCTCAAAATCACATTGGTACCTGAGCCTACGGCTAGGTGATAAGGGTCTCCAAGCGTAGCCTTTTGTTATTTAATTTTTGCTTCAGTCTGTGTTTAAGTCAGGCTGTAACTTAGTCTGTTTCTGACTTAATGAATTACTTTTCTTGGAGCTCTGACTTAGCTAACATAAAAGTGAATCCTTTTGCTAAAAAGAAATGGAACAGGATCGTTTGGCACTAGGCAGCAGACCTAGTTAGAAATTTTGCACTTGACTAAGTGATGACCAGCAGGGCAATCTCAAGGAAGAAATTTAGTCCTTTTTGCTCTGTGTTTTCCTTTTACTAATCTTGAGATTKTCTCAAGGCAGCTGTAAAGTGATTTGCAGTGGGATTTTACTTTTGTTTCATTTGATCAGACTTGTGGTATAGACCATGTGGTATAGAACGGGTAGAGTTCTGTACTTGTCATGTTTTAAATCATTTTACAGCCTGTTACTCAGATCTCCTCTGTGCCTTATTCAGATTGCTTCTAAAGCTTCCATCATCAAACAGAATGGAAGAGGTTTTTAACATTTGCAATTAGAAAGGGTGTTTATTATTTTTATTTCTGAGTAGGTCCTGAATTTAATATTTTGGTTTAAAAAAAAAATAAAAGAAAAAAGGAAGTGTGACAGATGAAGGAAAACAGATCTGCATGCTGCCAGGCTGAACATCATCAGACAATCCGCATAGTTCATTTGGTAAATCGCCTTGCAGCATTTCCATAACTATTTTTTTAAAAGCTAAAGCACCTGTGTCATGCATAGATCCCATTYATGAGAAACGTGGGRCATACTTTACCGAATTAGTGCTTTYCTGTGAGTTTTGTAAAGCACTTCTGCTGGGACATCCTGTGCCACAAAGCGCAAACTCTTCTTCCACCTACTGAGCTGAGAGCCTAGCAGGGCTCTTCTGCGGGAATAGTTGCCATCCCTGAATCTCAGCTCCGGTCGTAGCCTGTTGGTCCTGGGCGAGTTTCAGAAGGACATCCTGGAGTTTATGAATGTGTTGATGCAGACACAGGGTGGAGCTGTGACCGCGTCCTGTCACTTTTGTGCCACTGGAGGCCTTGAGCCATCGCAGCCCCATGCACGGATTTATCGTGGGCCGGCCGGTGCTTCACTGCCCTGCCCGGCTCTCAGATAATGCAGAGTGCTCCACAGTGGCATCATCAGCTCTCTTACGTGACTCYGGAACGGGCAATGTCACTGCTTTTCTTACACTGTCACTTGTGCACGTGCAGACTGTCCCCTGTTCCCGGGAACTGTGCAATTCCTTACTTTTTCTGTAAATAGAGCAGAGCTCTTATTTTCTATTAGTGCCAAATAGCTCTCCGTGAGTTTTGCTTTGTTTAAACGACTGAAACTCAATAGGTAAAGAAGATCTGAGATCAATCTAGTGTGCTGGCCCTAATTTTAAATGAGTCACACAGAAGTGTAGAGTTTTGTGGCTGAGACTTCTTTGAGAGTTTTGCAGACCTTTTGGTGAACCTGTGGTGAATGACAATTTGAAGTGAATCTTGAAACTATGATTTCAGATTTTACATGTGCATGACTCGAGTAAGAAATGCTGAGCATGTTAGTGTGGCTGTATTTTCTGTGTTTGTTAGCAACAAAATTAACAGGAGGAAAAATATTTTTCTATTGTTTAGAATGCTACTAGAGCTTCTACTTATTTTATTACTTTTAGTTCTTTTAAAATTAATTAGATTACAGTTTTCCATGGACGTTTGGCTACAAATCCCCAAAGAAGGTGGAAGATGCACTGATCTTTTCTATAGTTCTGAGAGATGATCTGCCTCACAGATGACTTTCCTTTTGGAGTAAGGGTAGCTCCTGGACAAAAACTTCTCACGTGTTGTAGTGGGCACCAAGAAGTTGAGTATTTCTAAAGAGCTACACACACACACACACATATATATATTTGTATATATACACACTTTTTTAATTGCAAGGGTTTYGTAACCTTAGCCCTTCTGTGTCGGCAGAATCATTTTCAATAACTCTACTTTTGAGAGAGAATATGCCATGCTTCTCTCACTTTGCAAAGCTAGATTTGTAGGCTACAGGTAAGCTTAGTAAATAATTTTTTTCTCCAATTCATTACTCATCTGACCAAAAAAAAAAAAAAAAAAAGTGACTGTCATCTGTGAAGATACAGAAAGGAAATAATTTTAAATCCTTTTTCATGTCCTCTACATAGCATTTAGGAAATAAAACACTTGAGTAATTCGATTTGAATTGTGGCATTTTCATTATTTTAAAATGCAATGCTGTATGTGAATGTATTTTTTGTTCTTGGGTCCTTTGACCTACATATGATTTCAGCCAAACTTCATTTATGACTTTTTGGTCCTGTGGGTTCCTCCCTGCTTCCCCATGGTGGAATTAGGCTGAATTAGGCTGATACCTGTGTTAGGTGCTCGAAGTTTCCAAAAGCAGTGTTTTCATGGGATGGCGGCTGTGCCTTAAGTTACTTTGTTTTCATGTTTTGCTAACTTCCCACAGCAGAAATCTGTGCGCACACATAAATATATAATGCATGCACATGCTCCCAGCTGCCAGCATGGGGCCTTCTTCTGTCAATACCTGGGTGTCGTGGTCCTGATTCCCTCGTGGTCAGTCTGTCCCTGCTCGTCTGGGCCTTGGCAGAGAGATCTCTGTCCCCAGAGCTTCCCCTTGGTCACGTTGCTGCCCTGCTCTGTTCACTGGGTGTCAGGTACTGCCTCCCGGGACTCCGTATGTTCCAGATCCCAGAATTTACCATTTTATTGGAGACTGAATTYAGGAGAAACTAAAATAGTGCAAGGTATGTGATTGATTTAGAAATTAGAATTGAAACTGGCGATAAGGCTGGAATAAGAATTGTTTGGAAGGCTTTTTGGAGGTTTATCAGAAAATTTTATTTCTGCAGTCTTTTTTTTCTCTCAGAATTGAGATTACTTTGGCATTGGCATTTGGCATTGGTAGAGATCTTATGTAGCTCTTTGCAATAGATATGGATAGACTGCTAATGTGCAAGCATAAGTGCTTGAGAATGCACTTTATTTAGCCATCTCGATTTTTTTCATGCAGATATTTGTAATTTTATTTTATCATTCATGTCTACTTTTCTGTTTCTGTACTCTTTCTTCCAGGATAAGTTGGATATCTGACATTATTGTGGTCGTCTCTCCTGAAAATATTGAAACAATGAAGACTATCGTTGAGAAATATGGTCACAAAAAAGTTACAGTAGTAAAAGGTGGAATAACACGTCACCGATCCATTTTTAATGGACTGAAAGTGTTTGCAGAGAGTGAGTTTTCCAAATACCTGCTCCAGAAGCCAGAAGTGGTGGTTATCCATGATGCTGTGAGGCCGTTCGTTGAAGAAGATATTCTGTTAGAAGTGGTTATGGCTGCTAAAGAACATGGGGTATGTACTAAATAGCTGTGCAAGACTGTAGTGTGCTTATACACTGCACAGAGTCCAAGTGGGATTTCCTGAGACCTGCATTAATGTTGATTTTTTAAGTAGAATAGATTCAGAATTCTCATTGCACAGAGAGGTCAGGCTGGAGCAGACTTTTTCTAAAGAGTTATAAGCATAATTTGCTATAGAGAAAAATGATTGCTGTAGAGGCTCTCCGTAAAGTATTAAATTAATGTCCAATTCTCATTTAATGGTAATCACTGTTAGTGTTTGCTGATTGCATCCAGAGAGGAGAGCAGGAGGTCATTTGACTTATAAACGTTGTGTGTGTTCGTTTCATATTTGTGTGGAAATCCTGAGTAGGGAAGTGGCAAGAGAACTATCCCTATGTTTACTCTAGATTTGTCTAGAATCCTTAAACCTTGCAAAGTGCTGGGAAAGAAGGAAGCTGGAAGCCCCCACAGTGCGGTTGCAGGTCCCTCATCGTCACTGTGTTTGAGGATTGTGTACTCTCTTGGAAATATTTACAGGAACTAGAGAGATTTCTGAGGAAACCAGTGGTAAATGACTGAGAGGAGCTGGTAGAAATTACATGGATGCAAATAGAATGGTAAKTTATTAATGATTCTGTCAGCAAGAGGAGCTGATGGAGAGGCTGGCTGGTGATCATGGACAGGGTTATAACAAATTCATGACTTAGCCACAGGTTTACTTATACATTCTGGTATATTTGCCTTGTATTTCAGTTCCCCAGTAGTAAACAGGTAAAATACTTCTCAACTTCAGTGAGATGATTTGAGATTAAATCCATTAATCTCCTTACCTAGATAGCCTTCCTGTGATGTGACTTTATGATCTTACGARTTTGTCCAAGTCATCTTTTCTACTATATAATTTATTACTGAAGTGTGTGTGGTATTTAATGTCTCTGTGGTGGTTTCCTGTGCTGGCTTGGGTCCACTGAAGTCACTGAAGCTTGGCCAGCAGAACTGGACTCCCAAAGCTACTGTTAGCTACTGATGTTACCTGTCATAGTTAGGGAGCAAACCGAGGAATATGAGAACTTCATTTTATGTAGTGAACTAGCAGAGCTACTTGCCAGGGAGAGAGGTGCTTATCTTCTGATATTTGTACAGGGGTTTGAGGAACTAAATGAAGGGAAAGTCAAGACTTTTTCTCAAAACTGATATGCGTTGTTTGGAACATCAGAAGAGTTTTGGTGGAAGAGAAGCTGTCRTCTGGGGTTCTTCATATAGTCAGATTCTTTGCATATATAGGGGAGGGTCAATTCTTCACTCTTTCAGAGCAAAAAAGTAATTACTTTTGCATTTTGTAGAAAGGTAAAAAATCTGACAGAAACATATTAAATCACTAATAGGAATAATGCTGTATTGTTCATCTGCATACCATATAGATAGCATAATTGTGAGAAACTTCTATGTTCTTTAAAATGGCATTTGATCAAGTAAGTTATTGCATTTCTTGCTGCCAATTGTCAGACAAATAAATTACTTTATTACGCTTACTAATCACTTTGTTATTTGCCTGTAGGAATCAAAATGTGCAACTTACCCAGAACTAATAAATTATGCCCTAAATCTTAGAAACATCCCTTGATTATGTGAAAATATAACTTTGCAACCAATTAAATTCCATTTATATTTTGGGGGTAATTTTGTAATTAAAGTTACATGTTTCTAGAAACAAATTCTTTATTGCTAGTAAAAGCCGGGAAAAGTGGAAGCTTCAGAAGGCATTATTCCAAAGCCTCTAGCAATATCTCTCTGCCAGCATTGCATTTTAAACAACACAATCAAAAAAAGTGTTTACAAGAATGAGATTCTTCCCCTCCAACTCTTTCCGGATTTTGTTACCTCTGCTATGGAGAGAGAGGAAGGGAAAAAGTCAATTAAAATCTGAGACTTTTTCATTAGTTAAAACCTAAACTGGAATTGAAAATCTAGTTGGTCTTTTTTGAGTAAATAGGCTGAAATCAAAACTCTCGCATTCTTAACGTTAGAAGCTGGATTCTGGAAGTGATTGAACATGAATATATTTTTGTAAACAGCAAGGATCTGAGCAAATTATACATGCCTATACAGGTATACTGTGCTATTCAATCTCATGGACTTTGATTCCCAAGCACAAGCAGTCCAAACTACCTCTTTACCCAGAAGAAACCTTCTCATTCCGTGCTTGGTGTTTTGTTGTCTCTGAGTTTGCCCAGACCTAGCGCTGTGATCCCAGTCCTGCCCTGCTGGAGGGCTGGAGCCTGCCCACGTGCACACATATCCTGTTCTTTAACCCAATTATACAGCAAAGTGAAGCACTCTGTGTGGATTGTGGACTTGCATTAGCAAAGCATGGTGACTGGCAAACCAACGCGCCGTGCTCGTTCTGCATTGAAGGACTGCTCAGGGACATCATCCTGCAGCACTGGAGGCAGTGCAGTTCTGCCCTCTTTTCTTCCAGAGTTCTTCTTCTTTTAGAAGCAATGACAGTTGTTTATGTCTTCCACTCTCCTTCTGGTATTTGGAATATTTTACACATGATCTTTGCCTTCTTTATTGTAATCTAAGACTGGTTTTAGCCAGCACTAGAAATTGCATTTACTGCTTTGGTGACTGTTTATCAGTGTTTATCTTTCATGTTTATACMCTTGGGCCATCTGAAGCCATTCTGTGCCTGTACTCTCAAGATCTCTGCTATCAACCTGTGCTTTGGTCCTGGTGCTGTCCTGCACTAGACATGCACAAAAGCAGAATAAAGACCTGAGTATRTCAGAGTGGCATCCAGGGATTTGTATTCCACTGACGACAAGAGCTCTGTAGCTGAGGAACCTTTGCTGAATGAGGCAGTGCTTTCTGGTGTTTAGGCACTGGAGTTGGAATCTTTCCCCTTTCATGGGTAGGGGTAAGAGATGTCGCTTGTTTTTAAAGAACTTTTGAAGAAAATACAAGGATGTGTTAAGGAAAACGGTGATTTTTTTCAAAGTGTATATTTCTGCTATGTCATATATATAATTAAATATAGATTAAATATAGGTATAGATTCTGACTTTACTGACCTGTTAAATCTTAGATCCTGACCCTGCATCTGGAGTTTCTGGCATGTAAAACACCTGATTCACAGTTAAATCTCCCATATGTAAGAGCACTSGTCACTTGCAGGGCAACCTTTGTGGGTTCAAAGCAGTCTCACAAAGGCAGTGTTGGCAGCCTTGCCTGCAAATGATGATTCTGTGTCAAAACTTCCACCATTTGATTTTCATGTATGTATATGTATATATATTTTTCAGTGTGTCCTTAATTCTTAGTATTTTCTTAGTGTGATTTTGCTGCTGTACCAGACAAGAACCAGACAATAGATTAATATTTCTCTTTCTATCCCTCAGTAATGAGTAACTATCAGAAAGAAATGGGGTTTATTAGTCTCATAGAAAGATGTAACTTCTTAGCCAAGTCTTTGTTTTCTGTGTTGAATAGGAGCTAATATAACATTGTTAGCAAATATATGAGGTCTTTGACCTAATGGRATGTAGTGTTTGAGGGGGGAAAGCATTGGTAAGGGAAGAAAAGGCTGATTTCCCAGTCTTGGTTAATCCTCTTGGATGAATCAAGTCCCACTGCAGCATCCCAAGATTTTTTGTTTTTCCTGATTTCTTGCTTCTCAGTCTATTGTGGGTCAGGTGTTTTATCGCATGCAGTAGATCAGTAGCACATGATATTGTGGGTCTTGTAGTTACGTAGACTTTTAAAAAGTGAGACACAGCTTCTCAGCAGTAATTGTAATGGTCCTGTGCTGGTAATTGCAGGTTTATACTCCCCTAAAAATGCTAACTTCTCTTTCTCTTGCCTCACTGTCAGTTGCAAAATCGTTTGTGGTACAAGGCACCTTCAGTGACAGCTCTTTTGTAATGTGAATCAGTAGTTAGAGTAAGAAAGATGGTTCTCTGCTTGTTAAATGTGATTCGTTACTTGTTGATGTCAGCATATACTGCACAGAAAATGTAAAATAAATAGTCTTTGATRAATTTAAAAGTTACATTGATTTTAATGGTTACTTATTTTTTGTTATAAATATTTAATTTTTGCCACCTAAAATTGCACCTAAAATTGCAATAAAACATTAAAGGATATAGTTAAATGCAGGTTGTTCATGTTGTCATCCTTCTGTTATTGAATTCAAAAATGAAGAGGGGTGTGTGTGTGTGTGTGTGTATCTGAAATATTTCTGAAAGGAAGTGATTTGCTGCTTAGTGTTTGCATTGTTTAGGAAGGCTGAGGCCTCCATGCTATGGAATCCACCATACTTCTATATAACAGTGTATATTACTGACAATTGAAAGGAGCAAATATTTCATAAGAAAATTTTGCAACAGGCTATCAACATGTGTTGCTCTTTATTTGATGAATGCTACATGTGGTCAGTCATATGCATTGTATGGATCTATACAGGCTTTATACAAACTTTGAAGTACTTAAAGCCAACTAAGCAAACAAACCTGACAAGAAAACAAAATCTTAATAAAAGGGAATATCTTGTTAAAAGCAGCAGTTCTTGCACTTTGATGAAAGTTGGCTGAATTTGTTAACTAATGGAGTATGATCTTACAACTTGGCTAAAATACAATAAAATGTATTTTATGGAATGTTCAGTGCTATTGTAGTTCTTTGGAAAAAAAAATCCTTTAGCTATTCTTGAATTTCTCAGATGGAATATACAGATAAAGCAGGCTTACTGGAAGAAATACTATACAGTGTTTTATGAAACCACTAAAAGTATCTGTTTAATGCTGCTAATTTTCATATTTTTTTGCCCCTTTTTGTGTTTTTTTTCCTGACTTATGTCTGTGATTCGTTAAACAACATCAAGTTAAAATAATTAATATTCTTAAGCCTTGCTTATTTGAAAAAAGGTATTGTTTTATATTGAAATTTAGCATAAATTAGTCATGTTGGTTTTGTTTGCAGTGCTCTGCTTTTTCTCAGTGACTACTGTGC